CAGCAGGAAAATGCAGTGATTCAGAGGGGGGTTTACTGCAGGCCAAAGCATTTGTGCTGGCTGATGAGTTAACCCCTGCTGGGTTTGCATAGCCCGGTGCTCGCAGGCAGATTTGAGGACAGCAAACTTCTAAGCTGAGGGCTGGGGTGATGGTGACTGAATGGGTGAGTCCCAGACCACCAGGCTAAAGACTCACCTGGGCTGAGAGCATCTGCTTTGGCGAAGCTGTGGCACAGTGCAGAGGAGGAAAGAGAGGACAGAGAGAAGGGCAGGAAGGAGCTGGCTCATAGCAATGGGCTGAAGAGCTCTCCTGGGGTGGGAAAGGCTCCCACCTCCCACTAAGGTCACATCTTTACATTTTCCAAGAGGAAATATTAGTGAGAAACGGTGCTTTAAGAACAGAATCTGCCTCCTGACACCCCTGGCTGTCACTTACGAGGGCTCTGGGGTTCTTGTTGTTTTTGTAAGTCAAGACAAAGACATTCCTCTGTTTCTTTACTGTCTCTAGGAGACACCCCACTGAATTCTCTTCCAATTCCACACTGACACTGAGAGGAGCTAAAGGGCAGTAACCGAGAGGCAACATCTGGAACAATCAATGCAAAAAGAAAACACCCACAACCACCAGCCCCTGTCTCTATCTGCTGGTGAGCTGCGGAGCCAGCACTACCTGTTTACTTCATGTCTAATGGACTTAAAGCCAAAAATTGGTTTAATGCTGTCTTAAGGCACCTGCTCTAATATCATTACATTTTGCCCAATCCAATAAGGAGTGCAAATCCTCCTGTAGTGCTGAAATCTCACCTTGTGCATCATTATATTGCTCTGGAGGAGAGCCCAGTGCTGCACAGACCTGAGCGTGAGGGGCTGCTTGTGCCCCACAGAGGACCCTCTAGACCTGGTGTAGTGGAAGGTGTCCCTTCCCGTGGTAGGGGCTTGGAACTGGATGAACTTTAAGGGCCCTTCAACCCAAACCAGTCTGGGATTCTGTGATTTAGGATCAAAACTTCCCTTTTGACCACTTAGATAGTTCCCATGATTTACAGAGCAGAGTTTTAAGGCTTCTTCCCCACTATCAGCTGATCTCTCCCCTCTCCCTCGCCTGCTGCAGCAGTGGTTGTTCATCACTTCCTTTCCAAGCACACACCAGGCAGCTCCCGAGCGATCCTTCTGGGAGCTGTGGTACAACAGCACATGAAATCAGCAGCAGTTTATACTATTTGAAAACTGTTTTTCTGCTTCACCTCCAACAAAGTTGATTGCATTTTCCATTTCACCTCCTTCACGGCTTTTCTCTCTTCCTTAAGTGTCCTGTGACAGGGAAATTACCATGGCTTCCCATTTAAGAGGTGGAGGGAACAACTGAGATAATCTAGAAACAAGGTTGTAACAGGCATCCCTGGACACAGAAGAGGGCTCTCACCACACCAGGTTGAGCTGTCAAGCCCTGCTGTAGCCAGAGACCCTCCTGCAAAGTCCGTAAATCTAAATGAATAAATAGTTCCACTGAACACAGAGGGAGTGTCCCTACTCCTAAAGGGCTTCACGGCTCTCCAGGTATAACTGATGCTCCAAAACCAAGTTAAAGCCCCTTCCAACACTACTGTCATGCTGCTGGAGGCTGCATGGGGAGGGCAAAGGCAGCGACCTCCTGGCACAGGCTGAGCCATGAGCCTGCTCCCACCCCACGGCTGCCCCTCAGCCTCAGCAGCAGCCCCAAGGGCCTGCCAAGGTCCTTGGCAAAAGCCTCCTGGCAGTGTAAGCAACACAGACGGTGAGATTCAAACCCTCAGTCACTAAAAGCCAACTCTCCGGCATTTCCTCCTACCTCCCTCTTCTGAGCAACGCCACCAGCTCCCTGCTCCGCAGCCTCGGGCCTCAATCTGGGTTCAAGACAAACCACAGAGTAAGAAAACTGAGTTTTCAGCAACACATTCAGTGCCTGTACTTAATCTGGGCTGTGATCACCACAGCGTAGGATAAAAGAAGTATCAAGTAATTTAATGACCCTACTTGTTGTCCAGATTTCACACTGTACATAAACCCTCCCGGTTTCCCTTCCCTCCGTGCCTGGGCTCTGACTCAACTTGTCTGACTTGAGGACTTAATCTCATGAAAAGAACTGCCAGTGTTACAGCATAAACTCATTCTTCATAAAGGAAATGCTGACTGGTGTTATAGGAGCTAATTAATTTTACAGCCACAGAAGTCTACAGCCCCTCCTTTTCATCTCACAGAGAAAGAGAGAGAAAGAGAAAGAGAGAAAACAAGAGAGCAATTGCTGTGTAAGATGCAAGTACGATTGGGTATATTGTGCTAGTCAGGATGCAAGTGCAGTGATCCAAGTAGCAGTACTGGTAGGCATGCTCAGGCACCTCTGAACTGTGTCCCTTAATGACTGAACAGTACAATTATTAATACATTAATTAATAATATAATTAATTGACAGTAAATAATGACGTAATCTGGTTTAGTCACCGTGCACCTCACGCTCTGTTTTCCAGCTGCCATCATCCCCGTGGCTGCCGCGTGCTCAGGGGAGAGCACACAAGTGGTGAGGGGTGAACCTGCAAACCTGAGCTCGTGCCCGCTCCGGCCCCAGGTCCCTGAGCACTGCCCAGCACTGTCCCTGCGCCCGTCGGTGTGTGTCTGCTCTGAGCTCAGGGAGTCTGGCCAGGAGAGTTTCCAGAGGACACCTCAGAACACAACACAGGAGATCAGTAGAGAGGAGAAGACTCATGACAATGGAGAGACACAGCAAACCACGGAGGTCACAGCTGGCCCAGCAAACCACTGCCGGACCAGCAAAGCCCGTAGACAACAACAAGGCAAGGCAGAAAGCAAAGAGCTCCTTCGACTCCTGCAAAAACCAACCCACTGCCTGGGCAGAGCAGGGACCACTCTGCCTGGAACTGCCCATAGCCACGAAGCGATGAGCTGGCTCAAAGCCCATTTGCAGGCCTAGTTGTGCCATGGGTCTTTGGTAACGAACTGACGTGTCTACGCCTTTGCGACGCTTTGGACAACCTGAAGAGTGACCACTCTGACTTCCCCTCCGTATTTAGCATTTCAAAACCTTAGCTGCAAGAGGTATTGCCAGAGACCATGAACACTGGCTGTTTCGCTGGTTGAGACTCTGTAATATCCAGCATGGCATTTATTAGTTGGCTGTAGCCTGCCTGGGTGGGAAGATGAATCTGACATTAAAGAGATATAAAGTCTTTACTGAGAAACTTTATTTCCTAGAGCTGATGCTATTGTGCTGTTCTTAAAAAGTTACAGATAGCCCCAGGAAACATGAGTGTCCCCCTTCCAAAAGCAGGATGGGGTAGATCCCTCACCTTCTCCGGTGTTTCAGCCATCCTCCTTTCTCTGCTAATGGGAGGCTCTGGGAATTAGCAGAACCCCTACACATCTCCACACTCACTCCCATTGCAGCCTGAGAGAAACAACCGAGAGAGATTTCTGCCCCCAGGGACAGCTTCTGGACACCAGACCGGAGACACGAGATCAAATTCATCTCTGGTGCAATCCCACTGGCTGCAGCCACATCAGACCAGAGATGAATTTGGTCCACAGATACATTAAGAAAGGATACAAAGCACAAACGGTATTTGATATATAAAAAGAGAGAACGGGGAGGGGGATTCAGGGGGACGCTGGCTCCTAACCCAGCAGGACACAGCCCAGCCCGCTCCACCCTCACATCACCAGGCAGGGTGCGTGTTGCCGGTTACCTTTTTGCTTACTGACTTTCTTTACTGTCATTGCCGCTTGCCGCTTTTGATTCTCAGAAATCTCAAAGCCTGGAAGAGGGAACACGGCAAACACAATTCAGAAGGTTGCTCACAAAGCCTCTGTCCTTTGGGGAGGGGGGAACAGGGTCTGCACTCTTTGGCAAACACACAGCGCCCAGGGAGGCAAAGCAGCCCCCGGAGCTGTGTGCACGGGCAGGTATTTGCCTGAACAGCCAATCTTCCTTGCGGGGACAGGCCTCTTTCTAATGTCACTTGTGCAGGGGCTGTGTGAAAAGTAAGGTGAGACCCATTATTATTTATAAAGTATCATAAATAGGCCGAGTACTTTACAGCTGAGCAGCACAGACGGAGCCTGAACTGGCTCTGGTTACAGTCACCTCATGGGCTGATGCTGAGGGAAGGGCATGGCTGGTACGTCTCTGCTGTCGCCACCCTCCTAAGTGAGGTGTGCTTAACCAGAGCAGAAGAGATGCAGCCAGGAGACTCTGAGGTCAGATGGCCAATGACTTCTTCCTCCCAGACTGCTCACAGTCCAGGCTTGAAGCTATGGGCAGAATTTGTTTATTGAAGGCCAAAACTAACTGGAAAGAGACCTGTTGATGACTATGAGAGCAACCAAGGACACCTGAACAAGGCTGAACTGTAATTCTACTAGCAAAAATTGGGCTTCTCCAAAAGCTGGGGCTAAACTAAGCAATACATTCTCCTTTCAGATTCATTTCATATTCCTCACCTATCTTTTCATCTTCTTTTACCATCTTCCTTTCTTCTCTGAAAGCTCTAATCCATCGTAACTTATCCTCCAGTTTCTTGGTAAAGAATAAGTGCATTTCCTCAGTCTCCTTGTTATGAAGCTTGAAGGCATTCTTCATGCTGACATTGAAGTCATCATCTCTCCCATCTTCTGTATCCACCACTTCATATTTATCCAAGTCTATGCGACCTTTGTAATACAGAATATCTCTCCTTATCAGATCCTAGAGAGAGAAAAGGAGAGATAGTTGATCATAAGATACTTACAGAGCTTGAACTCAGCAGGGAACCCATGGTGAATCCTGGTCAGATTCTTCAAGCCTCATCTGCTGTGATGACATTTCTTGCTGCCTAAACAAACAGGGTGGATCATGGGCACAGAGGAACAAAATACAAATCCTCATGCTGGAAATTTTGCTCACAGGCATGAAGAGATGCCTCTGAGCAGGTAATGGACTTCCACAACAGGAAACCCTGTTCTATAGGATGAGCAACCGGGAAGTACAGGGCCTGATGGGGTTCCTGTGCTGCAAACCAGGCTGAGGAGAAGCAGAGATCCTGAGGAACCAGCTGGGGCCTGTTTTGGCAGAGCGACCATCTCTGTTTTGCAAACACATTCTCATAGAGACAGGTCCTTTCCCCTTGGAACCATTCCCCATTCAGACACAACTTGCTGGCAAGCAAATCACCCCGATTCTCAGGTCGAAGAACCCCCAGCCTCTCTCTGTCCCATTACACCTGGATTAACCTCTTGATCCAGATTACACCTTTTCTTTTCCCCCTCATGATGTTTACAACCAAACCCCCTCATCCCCATCTCCTCTCCCAGCTGACTATTGCTGCCACACTGGTGTAGGAGCAGCACTGGCCCCACATCTCTGTGTCTTTATAGGAACAGGTAACAAAACCCGACCATCAGGAACACAACACTAAGAGCAGGATGGCCACAGAAGGTGATTCAAGTTAAAATGCATACACACACGTTTAAAAAGCCAAGTTCAGCAACGCACCATCAGGATTTCCTACCCCTGCCCACTCTCAGAAGCAAATGTTCAGGCTTATTACATTAATTTAACAAATACCTACTTATTTTTGAGAGTGCCCTGAAGATAAACGCCAGGTCAAAGGATTCATTTAAGAGGAAACATAAAATCAATGTACAGTCTTTATTTACTCAAGTAAGATGTAGCAGTGAGGTTTTCTAAAGCTAAGCTGCAGGTATTGGTTTAAACAAATCATTAAGCTTGCAAAATAAATGGTACATCATCGTTTTTTAGCCAACTTGCTCATGGATCTGCCAGACAACATGAACCACCACGAGACAGGCTCTGGGCAGGAGCCTGCAGCCTTTAAAACTGTCCTTCCCACTGCTGAGAACCCCCAGACCACCCCCAACCAGGCTGTGGGGTGAGCAGCACACAGGGACACCCTGTGCCCCCCTGGCTTCCAGACAGTTCAGTCCATGTCACAGACTAATAACTGTACCTGGGCCACATCCTTCGTAATGACCTCGGCATCTCCTACTCCCACTTCTCCCTTCGTCCCCTCTTCCCACTGCTCAATGAATAGACATTACTTCCCAACTGACCATTTTGACACCCGTAGAACAGGAAGCAGAATAATTACTTGATCTGTGGATATTTTATCACTTATGTTCCTACAGCTCTTAAAGAATAACATGATTACTTTTATATACTTACACATTACAAGGCCAGGCTGGATGGGGCTTGGAGCAACCTCCTCTAGTGGAAGGTGTCCCGGCGTGTGGTAGGGGGGGAACTGGATGAGCATTAAAGTCCCTTCCAACTCAAACCATTCCATGGTTCTATGATTCTACTAACTCCTCAGCAAAGCATCTTCAAATGCACTTGTCTTTCAATAACATTTAGGAATTCATCTGGGCTGCATGAGAGGTACACAGCAAACAAGGCCTGCTGCTGCTCCTGGTTGTCCCAGGAATAATGTACAAGAGAATGAGGAAGGAGTTATTAAGCTGTAGGATTCACCCTCGTTTATATGCTGGCTCTGTTAGTACAGCATTACATCTTACCCTGCCCCTAGCTATGCCAGGCTGACGAGTGGCTGGTTTACACTGGCCAGTTCTAACTGTCACACAACATTATTTATTGTAGTTAAAGCAGATAAGAGCAAGGAAATATAAAGAGACAAAAAAAGACTTTCCAAAGCTGGTCAGTGGGGAAAGGCCAAAGAAATGGAGTTGTTTAATCTAGAAAAGCCATAAATAAAAAGGAATGTGCTATTGATATTCCAATATGTGAAAGCTGCTTCTCTTCTACAGAGGCTGGTGATCAATTATTCCCCATTTTGATTGTGGCTTGGCTTAATTTACCACAAGGGAGAAGAGGATGAGATGCTTGGAAAAAGATGTTTCAAGCTGTAAGAGTCCTTCAGCACTAGAACAGGCAAACCAGGGCAGCCCTGGGCCGGCACTCCGAGGAGACTGTCAAGCATGAGGTTAGACAAACATCCATCAGAGGTACTTAACCCTGCAAAGGGAATGGCAGATCTCCCGGGGCCTTCCCAGTGCTGCGCCTTGGTGATGGATCCGGGAGAGGTGACAGATGGAGCAGACCACGGGGTGAGAGCAGGTGGGGTTGGATGGAGCTGGGGGGTGCAGCCCCAAAGTGCAGAGCAGGACACGAGGACCTGCAGCCTCTGCAGGCAGCATCCGCAGGAAGGAAATGGATGCATCTGGGTCAGCTGCACTGATTTGTCTAAA